ATCAAGACTTAAAAATCTCATACTTCAATAGTGCAGCTGTAAATCCAATCAGTGGCAAAGGATAAACTCAAGACTAAAGGCCATCCTTAGTGTAAGACCTATGACAGTAAGCCCTTTATTAACACACAAATACAACCCCTTTGGCATAACCATACCAAACAACTAAGCAACAACCATAAAGCAAGATTCTAAAGACAACCACTACCTCAACCTAGAAGAGATACAACAAACCCTACCATATAAGCTAAGTCCTAGCAGCAACTACATGATAATGCCAACCAACCAATCAAAACAAATTTCAAGTGGTGCTACATCCTGTTGACAGCAAACATAGACACTAAACACCAAACATGATTCAAATATGGACAGAGGAAAAACTTATCATGATAATGTCAAGCATAAAAAAAAACAAACTCAATGTGTATTTCTCATGATAACAGCTTGCAAAAATCAACACAACAGTGTTGTACATCCAATACCAGCAGACTTGTAATCATAATAACAAATCATCATTTCAAAGGAAAGTTAATAAACCATGAACACAAACAAAAACTCAAACATATTTTAATGGTACTTGTGCATATAAAATAGAGAGTTTAGAGATACTTACCTCTTGTAGACTCCTCACAGCAAGCTAGCAACAAGATATCCCTCCCTCCTTTGAGCAAGCTTTGAAGTTTCTTTTGCAAACAACAGTTGGTTTTTTCTTTGAGGACAGTTTAAGAAAAGTGTTAACAACCCCTCTTTTTTTGCAAACAGTAGCAAGGAGAAGTTGAGGTGATGATGTTTTGATGAAAGGTTTGTAAAATGGTTTAGTGAGGAGAGAGATTCAGTGAGATTTTCAGAGATGATCAAAAATGGCACACTATGAATTTTTCTCCAATGGTGATTCGTTTTGCTAACAGATGAAAGGTGAGGTTATGGTGAGGATGGAATGGAAAGAAACTTGGAGAAATGCTCAAGAATGAGTGAGATTCGAAGGCTTGAATCAAAGGATGCAAAAACTCAACTTCTGATTTTTGCATAAAATGGTGGCTAGGGTTTTTCTCAGCTGCTCTTTAGCTTAAATATGAAGTGAGAAAGAGGTTTTGGGGAGTTTTACTGTGGTGTAAAATGAAGGGGCATATTTGCATTTTCATGGTTTTTTGTGAATCAATGGTTGATGATGGAGATGATACATGAGCAACTTGAATCCTTGTCTTCTTGTTGGTTTCTTGTGAGTGAAAAAACATGTTGGTTGTGGCTGCCAAGATCAGAATACAAGGGCAACTTGTCCCTTTCTTGTTTGGGCAAAAGATTCAAAAATGGGGCAAATAGGTATATGCCTTGGTTTGGCTCTTTTAGGCAATGTTTGGTGGGGCTCCAAACACATGTTCTTGCGCATGGGATAGAGAGAAAACCAGACTGCATGAGCAAAGTTCACAAATATGCCAAAATGACTTGTAACACATGTATTGAAGATATGTTCAAACCACCAACTTTGAGCAATGATAACTTGGTGTACAAGAATCATTTTGGCTTGAACTTGAGCTTTAAGTAAAGAGGGTATGGCAAGGAACAATTTTCATGTTGAAATCATCTTAATTTGAGGATTGGAAGACCATGAAAAATAATGTTGAAAATCATGCCATGCAAGCTGTCCATAAATAACTTAGAAAAAATTCTAAGTTATGGATTTTGGATTATTTTTCCTCAACTTTGCACATCCATAACTTGAGCTTCACAAATCATATGGAGGACTTCTAGGAATTTTTGGAAAGCTTGGAACAAACTCTACAATGTTCATATGGGACAAAGTTTCATTTGACATCAAGAACTTGTTGGAAATTGGCTTGCAAAGTGGTGCAAAAATCTGTCCAAACATAACAATTTTGAAGTCATGGAAATCCCCAACTTTGAAGGATCATAACTTGAGCTCCAAGTATCATATGATTATGAATTGGTACTCAAAGAAAGCTTGAAATACAAGGAACAACTTTGATGTTTTACCCAAGATCATCTGGAACCTTGATCATGAAGAAAAATGGTCTTGAAGATGACTGCTTCAACCATGAAACTTTCCATAAATGGAAAGTTTCTAAAACCCTAATTCCCCAAAATGGCAACTTTCAACAACTCTTGACTTTTCATGATTCCTTTGACTTTTCTTTATCAAATTCCATTCATTAGTCATATTGAACTTGAGGAACATTATTTTTATCTCAAATAGTTAGGAGTTGACTTTTTCACTACATAGTTGACTTTCCCCCCAAATCTCCTGATTTTCAATTGACTGATCAATTGAAGCTCTTCTGATTAAAATTGATGATCGATGTCCCATCCCCAAACACCTTAGGACATATGTAAGACCATGGAAACAAGTATTGCTCCCAAAAACAAATTTATCCTGATTAAAACTGAAACCCTAGTTTCACCCTTTTTGCCTAGGCATTGTGCAAATGAACAGAGTGATCATCCCAATTCCACCATGACCTCTGAGGTACTCAACAAACTCTTACCCCATGCTTCTACCAATGATGAAACCTCATGGAACCTTTGAAAACCCTCTGGTGATCCTTTGACATTGAGCTATGACACACATCTCCTCTTTAAGAGCTTTGATAATTTCATGATAATAACACCCATTTGATGGCTTGTACCAGTGCCTTTGCTTGAGCTTGAAGCCAATAAAGACTCTCCTCTTGGATGATACACAAACACACACTTGATCCCCTGTAAGAACTATGCTATGCAAATGCAAGATGCTAAAATGCAAGGAAACATAAGCCAGCGATTAAGAAAAGAGGTTGGTCAAATTTTGGGGTACAACAATTAGGGCATGGAATCCATCATCGTATCGTAATTGTTGGCGACTGAGATTTCTATTTTCTGTTTCAATTGGGAATATGTTCGATTTTTGTTGCATTTTCTAGGTTTTATTTAGAGGTTTGAAATGGGAAGCAAAAAGTAAAAAGATGCATCAATGGTTCTTACGAAGCTTATGACAAATGCATCAATGGTTTGATATCCTTTTAATTTGTATAACTTTGAACTGAATTATTTTTTGTGTTCCTTCACGTGGTTTTTGCATCTTATAGTCAACTTATATGTTCATATATGAACTTTAGTCGTTAATTTATTCCTAGGTAGTTTTGTGTTGACAAGTTTGGTTGAAGCATTAACACTAGGGATTCGACTTGATGCACTAAGTTTAGATGAAAAGGCATAGTTACTCATTTTAGATAAGGGGTATGTATGTCAATTAATTCAACCCGACTATTGAAATTCCTGAAGTTGGTTGGAAAACCGTGAAACAACTTGCACTTTTATGAGTACGTTTCAATTTGGTCATTGACTTGTTAAGAATATGCGAAGTTAACATTTTGTTATTATTATTTGACAACATCACAATTATTGCTCTATTTGGAATCATATATAGTGTTTTCAACACTTACCAACCACTCCCTAAAGACTTCTTCAAATATGGTATATTTTCCTCTTGTATAATTGGAATCATATATAGTATTTTCAACATCACAACTAATGGACACAAGAACTTAAGTTATTAAGGACACCATTAGACTCAAGAGAAATTTGTTATTGCGTAAATATCATAAACTCAAGAGCAACAAATAGGTGAGTAGTTCTACTGATAAAAATGTTTCTATGTTAAAATGATATGTATGATGATTATCTGCTTGCTTAACAGTTACCGTGAAAAAGGAGAAATGAGAAAAGACACGTGAATCTTTATTAAATAAGGACTGTATGTGTACAAATACAGTGATGAAAACTTGAGCTTATATCATAATAAAATATATTTTTCAACATTGGAGGATTTGCATCTTTGTTGTTAGAAAGTCAGCAATATTTGTGGCTATTAAATTTAAGGTGGAATGCTATATATTTCAATGCAGAGGTTAAACTGTTAAAATAACTTAAACCATTTCCATGGACTGATATATTGGATTGTACTTAATTGTGAATTAGAGCATAAGTTATGATTGTCTTTTTCACTTTTGTTTGTTTCCATTATTTTATACCAATGCATTGAAATATGTTATTTGGAACTTGTAAAATTGTTTAATCTCTTAGGAGAAAAGAGTAATTAGATGACACATAAGCTATAGTGTATAATTTACCCCATGTTCAAAAGGAAGCTATATTGTGATAATCCATAAGACGAGAAAAGTTGTTTTATGTGAAGAATCAGATCTTTACAACTGCTATAAAATTGTTAAACTTGAAAAAGTTGTATTCACCATTAACAATTCAAGTTTTAAGAAGAATAAACTCTTATAGTTGTATCTATGTACACCTTAATTCATTTTGGTTTAATGTCTTGGTTTGAATATATAATGTATTAAGATTACGATTTAATGTTGTTAATATAAAAAAGTTTTAATTTAGTACTTTAGCTAAATAGAAAGTTTCAATTTAATTATTTTACTAAATCACTAACTCAATATTTTGACTTTTGTTATGTTGTCATATCACATATATACACAACTTAATGGATTTTCACAATTTTTTTAAAAAATATTAACTTAACTAACGATATAATATTTAGGAATTAAAATCTAAACTTTTTTAGATAAAGATACTAAAGTAAAAACTGAAATTAAAAAAAAAAACTACATTAATTAAATCTAATTTTTAAGAGGATTGATTTTGTGATTAAAAAAAAGACAGCGCTGAATTTATTGTCTTTTTTGTTGTCCTTTTACCTACTATTCTTTTTTTTTTTATAATTTTAATTATATAAAATAAAAATATTACTTTTAATAATTACGGTCGAATAAATTTGAATCATCTCTTATTTTACCAAATCTGCATCTCTCTAAACTTGATACCAAAGCATACAGTACTTTCATCAAAATTAAGGATTAGTATTAGTTACTGATCGATTAAAATTGGTCCATATGAAATTGACCTAATTGGATAAAATTAGGGCAAAAAATAGTACTATTTGTTATTAGCACTTTATTCTTGGCATTACCACTTCATCGGTGGCCGCAACCATGGTTACTGCAGTCGAGCTTTTACATGTAACTCAACCCAAACAACTAGAAGTAGAACAACAAACCAAAGACCAAGTTGAATTAGAAGAAGAAGACGATGATGATATCTCGTATTCTTCTGATTCGGAAATCGATGATGCTTTGGATTGGTTGGATTCAAAAGAAGATGAATATGAATCAATTGACGGCTCTTCCCTTAGTTCATGGCGCCCTAATGCTCATGGCGGCCACCATTCTCATTCTTCCACTCTCCAACCTCTCTCTAATCGTAACCAGAGATTCTCTCATCATATCCGTGCTTCCCCTTTAGAGGTTCCATTCTTCAAAACCCTTTTGTTTTATCGATTTCCAGTATGTGACTATTTAAGTGTCTTTTGTTGGTGGTTTTGATTCGCTTGATGATTTGCTAGCAACATGAAAGGGGTTGGTTTTGGTACTAATTCACTATTGGTTTTGAACACTTGTGCTCTCGTAGCTAATTTTGTCTCTGTGGTCTTGAATTGTGACTTCTGTGGTAATTTTGTTTTGACCTAAGACTGTTGGTGTTGCAGGAATGGGAAGGAAGAATGAATATTGGCATGTCTAACACTGTTACGACAGCGATTCGTGCAAGTGTGAGGGATATGGCCATTGGTAAAACCAGAACTACCGAGAAAGCAGACCGAGCCACAGTTGAGCAGGTAAATGATGATGAGTTTTATTTTCTCTTGCATTACGGCGTTGGTTAATTAGAAATGTTTTATTGGAAATCACAATAACAAGTACATTATACACTTAAATGCAGCACTGGTTACCATATTCGTAATTGTTTTAAGGGTCTTACTGAAGGTTTCTTTGTTTATCTTATTCATTTTCAATCATTTGTATGCAACTAACTCAAAAATTCTTTTAGGCAATTGATCCTAGAACGCGCATGGTTTTATTTAAGATGATGAACAGAGGCGTGTTTCAAGATATGAATGGATGCATTTCAACTGGAAAAGAAGTATGTCATACACCATAGACTTTTATTTTCATGTTTCAATTTTGTTTTGTCATCTTGTGATCAAGGTTTTATAACAAGGACGTGGATTGGATAATTGATTCTATAGATTATCATATTTCTGATTGTTACTCTTTTTAATTTTCTAACAGGCAAATGTTTATCATGCCACCAAATCCAATGGTGATGAACTTGCAATTAAAATATACAAAACATCTATTCTGGCTTTTAAGTAAGTAGTACTATGAGTATTAGATTGTTCTGTCTTCTGTCATTACTTATTTTCTTTACATATTTTCTTGAACGCTGAAATATTTAGGAAAAAAATTACACAGGCTACTGTAATCTTATATTTTATGATCTGATTGACATCAGGGATAGAGACAGATATGTGAAAGGAGATCGCCGGTTTATAAAAGGGTACTGTAGGAGTAATCCCAGAAAAATGGTACAGACATGGGCAGAAAAGGAAATGAGGAATCTTTTTAGGTTTGCATTTGCTCTTTTTTCATTCTTTATTTTTTCTTCTGTTGGATATGTACTTAATTAACTAAAAATTGTTAAGATGATACTGTTGTAAAATTTGATATACTAAATTACACTACCATCAAAATAATATGAAAAGGAGAATTAAAGGAAGAAGAAAATCACATTAATCATCTACTATTTCTTCCCAACTTTATTATATTTTTCTGCTGTTAAATGGGCTCCTTTATGTATATGATCCCCGAGCACTTAGTTTGTTCATTCATATTTGTCCAATATAGAGTTTGATTACTTTTTTCTTTTGCCTAAGCTGTTATTTCTTTCTTTCTCCTTGGAGTGCAGGCTAAAGGCAGAAGGAATTAGGTGCCCTACTCCACATCTTCTGAGGCTACATATCCTGATTATGGAATTTATTGGTACTTCTTTTATCCTGCATTTTGATACAATCTGATTGTCCAATTATAACCAATTGTTCTCAATTGTGTTTGTTATATTGATTACCAGTGTATATATGCCTACACTTGATTAAGAACGATGGAATGTTAAGTAGAGGAATGCATGCTTCATTATTGATTAAATGCATTATCAGTCCTAGAAAATTTCAATTTCTTGCTGTAGGAATCTTATTCTGGTAATACATACTGCAGTTTAGACAGAAGAAATGTAAGTATGTGTATAACTGATGTTCTCTGGTTATTTGATTCATGCAGGAAAGGATGGTTGGGCCGCTCCACGTCTCAAAGATGCAGATCTATCTTTAGACAAGTTACGGGAAGGCTATGTTGAGGTGTGTCATACAGCAGTCTAGTATAGTTAGCATGGTTTAGACGTTAGAAGTTAGCCTTTCAGCAGGTTTTTTTTATACTATCTTGTTGGGATGCTTTAATATCCTGTTCCTGTATTGATCCTCAGAAGTCTATTATCTTTAGAATGGTTACTAAAAGATAGAGTTTTCAAATAGCAGCTATAGTGTTACCGCGTAGCATAATTTCAACAAATTGCTATTGTTTAGCAATACACTATTTAGCACAACGTTTTGTTAAATTGTGGATATAACTGCGCTAAAACACTGTAGTGTATCAGAATTTGACCAACCATTTTTTTTCCTGCTGTCCACAATTGACAATACTGGTTAAAGCTCATTTGTGTGATTAAAGCAATTTAGAAGTGTACACTATCTGATGGGGTATCATTTAAGGGTTTTCCATGGAAACACTTCTCATGCATTTTATATACCTTACTATATTCTAAAGGGGCTATTCTTTATTCTGTTATGCCAATTTTTTAGGCTGACATTATGAGAATTTTGTTTCAGATGATTGTTGCAATGCGGACATTATATCAGAAGTGCAAATTGGTGCATGGCGACCTCAGTGAATATAATATACTTTATTATGAGGTGAATACTCCCTTGGGGTTTATATTTTAGGGAGTAAATGTCTATCTGTAAATAGTTTTACTTATTTATTCTTTATTTACCAGGGTCATTTGTATATTATTGACGTTTCTCAATCAGTTGACCTTGATCATCCTCTTGCTAATGATTTTCTGCGTGAAGACTGTACTCACGTATCTGTAAGTTCTCCTAGGCGCCGACTGTAAATTACTTATCTCTTGTATTGCAAGGCTAATAAGGACAAAAGTGTGATTAAGTACTTGTTTTACTTGTAGGATTTCTTTAAGAAACATGGTGTAGGTGTCATGACAGTAGAAGAGCTGTTAAATTTTATTAAAGATGCATCCATTGCTGATGATGCTGTGGATAGTTATTTGGAAGAGGTATTTATCATTAGTTCGTCATTGTTTATATCCTCTGGACAACATCAAACATATTCTTATCGTCTTTAACATTTTCCAGCTGCAACAAAAAATTTTGGCCAGAGATGTATCTATAGAGGATGAGACTGCAGACCTTGTGCTTGCTAAGGTAACTTGCCATATCAAATTACTTTTTGTTTGAATGCAAGAGTGTGAAGGGGGAGTGCAAGAAAATGAAGAAAAAACTGAAGCAAGAAATTTAGGGAGTATAATCTTTAGATATTTGTATTTGTTCATAGGAAGCTTATTTATGCTACTAGAAGCTTTTAGAGGGTATACTAGATAAAGATCTAAATTATGTTAGTGAAAAACTGACCCGGTTATCAAAACAAGCCAATGCTCATGCCTTTATGCCTTCTTTGATCCCATGATCACACTGGAAAGGCCACGATCCCACCTGCTGGCAATCCCATGTGTAACGCAGCAGAGAGTTGAACGGGAAATTGTGCAATCCCGTGATCAAGTTAAGATTACAATTTTAATAGCACTAACTCATTGTGTATAAGCATAACAACTATTCTAACACTTCCATTTACAACTGATTCAAAATCTAAGTATTCCCATTTAAATGTGCTATTACAGCAGTAGTTTATTATTAATTTCTATATAAATAAAAATGCAAAATTCAAACCCTTCAATATCTTTATTTCTTTCTAAAACAGTATGAGTTTGATTTGATAATTATTTTTCAAATGTATTTTGAAGAACTAAAACCACAAGTCATATTAGTCTATATTCAGCACATTGATTTTTCTCTCCATTTTGACACGTTTGATTTCTGAAACTCTTGTTACAGTCCGACATTCTAAAGAAACTAGATGATGTTAAGATTGCCGAGGAGGATGTACGACATATGACAGAACCTTCCCTGCAAAATGACCAGCAAAATCAGAAATCAAATACTATAGAAGACTTGCATGTCATCTCTGACGTTAAATCTAACCTCTTAGTAGGTGATGCCGAGTCTCAATCCGGGGAGGAGGAAGATAACATAAGCAATTCTGAAGAGATCTCATCTTCTGAAAGTGATTCAGATACTCCTTTGGAGAAGAAAGCAGCTAGAAAAGAAGCTAGGAAAGAGAATAAAAAGAAGGTGAAAGAGGAGAAAAGAGAAGCAAGGAAAACTAAAGTCCCCAAGGCTGTGAAGAAAAGAAAGAAAAAACTGTCTAAAGCCCCCAAGACCAGATAGACTATAGTGATTTGTAATGGCTACATGAGTGTAGGTTTTGGATTTCTAGATAAAAGTTATTATACAGCCAAAGATTATCCAAAAATAGTAATTTTGTTTTCTAAGCATATATCAGGAGAGATTAGAATTAATTTTATGAATCTTTCGATTTTGGTGTTTTTCAATTTTTATGTGGATGTCGATTTTAGTGTTTAGGTTTTTCAGTTTTCTGTTTGAACAATGTGCTATTGAAAGTGTCATTTATTAATGAAATTTTATTTAAAATAAATCTTTTTTCATTTTTAATATATGCTTTCACTATTTCAAAATAAGTATTGCATTTGGCTATTTTATTCCTATTAAGAAAATGATAAATAAAATAGAGTTCGGTGATTATATCAAATTATTCTTTTTTAATTATTGGCGTATTTTAAACATTATAAATGTAAAGTGAGAGGAGAATAATAAGATGAAAGTGATGCATGAAGTATTAGTTAATCAATTTTTTTCAACATACACTTCTTTTTTTGTGTGCTCTTGGACTTGGTAAAAAAAATCACTCTAATTCATTGTGCCAAGCAAAATCAACTTCCCTACAAAACTTTTTGACACTTTTCGTTACCAATTTTGACAACAATTTAAAGAAAAATTATTTGGTACTTAACAAGTGATTTAACCGCGATTAAATATTTTAAAATAAAGTGGATTAAAATAGAATGGAACAAATAGATATTTTAATAGAACAAAATTTTATTTTATTTAAATTGGAAGGAGAATAAACAAACATTATCATCTTTCATTGATCGCGAATGCAATATATCAACTATCAATGGATAAGAGATGTATCATTTTTCTTTTATATGATTGACCAAAGATACGATGATATGACGAGGATGAAGAGTTAATGGATAAGAGATGTATCATTTTTCTTCCAGCTTAATTAGTAGTTGCACATATAATATTCATATATTCCATTCAATTCTATTATATTTCATCAATTTAAACTTAAGCTTAGGATATTTATTAACATTTCTACTATTTTAATTAATTTTTTTAAAAAATATAAAATGTAGTTTGTTTGTTACAAATGTACATCATCACGTTAAAAATACATTTGCATATATTACTTCCTTTCTAAAATAAATATATATATGAAAAAAGGATCGAGTAAATAATAAACTTATTCAAAGTAAGTGATAACTATGATCTACACTTTCCCATCATCATCATCATGATCTTTTATTATTTATAGATAATTTCACTTATTATTTTTAAAATACTACTTTGTGACTTAAAAACTAATATTACTTATGTTGTTAATAATTTATAGATATTATATAATATTACAAGTGTTCACTTTCATAAGTGAAGTAGACATATCCCAATTGGTAAATTTTTTTTTTTAATTTTATTTGATTTTACTTTATCCCTTTTATCTAATATATTGTTTGATTTTATATTAATGTGTTATTAAAAAAAGTCTATATTAATTCATAAATTTTCTACATCTTGATCTAGCTAATAAGCTAATGAGTAATAATGGTGTAAGTCTTAGAGACTAATAATTTTATTAGAATTTTGTACTTGTAAAATTGTTTATTAATCATGATAAAAAAAATTTATTGTATTCTTTTTAAATAATAAAATTTTTAGAATAGTGATCAGTGCATTTTGATGCACGTTCTTCCATGTTTGTACTCAAGCATTTCTTTGATTTTATTTATTTATTTTTATGTTTTAACGTGTTTTTATATTTTATTTTATTTTTGCATTTAATTGTTTTTCGTATTTATTTTTCAGCTTTAACAGCTTTCGCGAGAAAAATCATAACTGGAGTTCCGGGAGTCCGTTTGAGGCGTTCTAAAAATCGCCGAAAAGCTAAGAGAGAGAGCTACAACTTTCGTGTTGGAGTCGAAGTCAGATTCGGAGCCCAAAATTCCAGAATTTCGTTTGAAGTTGCAGCATTAGGATATTGTTTTAGTTTTGGGTCATGTTTTGGGCCTGAGTTATATTTTCGACCCAGTTGGGTTTTGAACCGGATCCATTGTTTGCCTTTTTAAGGAGAACTCATGTTACTGTTCATATTATTCACATTTCACGAAAAAATTGATGTTGGAGAGAACAATGGAGAACTAATCACTCTGAGTCGGTCTACCGTAATTCAGGTTCAAACACTTGAGATTATTATAATATTATTATCTGTTTAATTCCGTTCAATGATTTTGTACTCTTGTATGCTTAATTCAATTGTATGAAATATATTGATTTGATTTGGTTGATTGTATGATCCTAACATAGACACTTTTACGTTTGCTTAATTCGTTTTTGTGTCTGAATAATCATGTTTGCTTAATTCATGAAGCTTTTTACCGTCTACTTAATTCGGACAATAGGATCATATATCTTGCAATCCTTATCGCGCTTGCCGTTAAGCTTGTATCCAAATAGGAATGAACGCGTAGAATATTAATATTATAGTAATCGATGATAGTAGGAACCGAATCGGTAGATTGATTTATTTCATAATCACCTTTTTTATAATCACTTATTTTCAGTATTTTTTCCCTTAATCAAAATTCAAACCCCCATAAATTATTACTTTATTGGTCAATCACTACAAGAATCCTTTTGAGAACGATATTTCAAGTCACTGTCGCTATACTAGCATTTTTATAAAAACACTCGTTTTGATCCGCGAGTATCGCACTTGTAAAGAGTGCCAGATAGCAGGTACAAACATCACTCGCAAGAGTGAAATGCCTCAACAACCTATGTTTTTCTGTGAGGTATTTGATGTATGGGGAATTGACTTCATGGGTCCCTTTCCTGTATCGTGTGGTTTCCTTTATATTCTGCTTGCTGTTGATTATGTTTCAAAGTGGGTAGAAGCTATCCCCACTCGGACTAATGATTCTAGAGTTGTCGCAAATTTTGTCAGGTCTAATATTTTTTGCAGGTTTGGAATACCGCGAGCTATCATCAGTGACCAAGACACCCATTTCTGTAACCGCACCATGGAAGCTTTGCTCCGAAAGTATGGAGTTGTGCATAGAGTCTCTACTGCATATCACCCACAAATTAATGGACAAGCTGAGATCTCAAACAGGGAGATCAAACAGGTTTTAGAGAAAATGGTGCAACCAAACAGGAAGGACTAGAGCCGTCGTCTAGAAGACGCACTTTGGGCTCAGAGAACAGCTTTCAAGACACCCATTGGGATGTCTCCTTATCGACTTGTTTTTGGTAAGGCATGCCATCTTCCTGTTGAGGTAGAACATCGTGCCTATTGGGCGGTGAAAAGTTGTAATTTGGTGATGCAACAAGCAGGTATTGAAAGGAAACTCCAATTACAACAGTTAGAAGAGCTTAGATTAGAGGCTTATGAAAGCTCTAGAATTTATAAAGAAAAAACTAAACACTTCCATGATAAAATGATCTCTAGGAAAGAGTTTTCTGTGGGCCAACATGTTTTACTGTTTAATTCCCGCCTTAAGCTTATGGCTGGGAAACTTCGATCCAAATGGATTGGCCCCTTCGTTGTTACTAATGTTTTCCCTCATGGTGCAGTAGAAATTAAAAGTACAGGTACTGACAAAGTCTTTAAGGTTAACGGGCAGCGTCTGAAGTTATTCTATGGAGGTTCGGTGCCTGAAGATGTCGGTATAGAGGAGCTTTCTTTGGAAGCACCTAACTACACTGCAACTTGATCAGGGAGTTGTTCTTTCCTTCTCTTTACTTTAATAAATTATGTCCTTTCATTGAGGACAATGCTTGTTTTAAGTATGGGGAGGGAGACCTTTTTTTTTTCTTTTCCAGTTATTATAATAAAAATATAAAATTTTTTTGCATCTTTTTGAAAGTTCTGGGCTATAGTCTAATTTGGGATTAGTTTGCATAGACTTGGGAACCGTTCATAAGATCGGTATCGTCTTAACACCGTAAGTCTCCTGCATATGGAAATTGATTTGAATTTTTATTATGTTTTAGCCTTAAATTTTCATTCTCTGACAGCTCTTGAGTAGTTTATTTCAGCAGTCAGCACCATCTCATACACACTCTACGCAGGGAAGCCGATGAATATAAGTGAGTGATCCAATTTTTAGCTTGAAAAAATATATAAAATAAAAAAAAAAGAAAAGAAAAAGAAAAAAGAAAAAGTTGAAAAAAAATTACTCGTTAGTTGGTTCAGCGGTTTCTGGTGCTGAACTTGGTAGGGCGGATTACGGTCCGATCCCCCACAACTACAATTGAGTCGGTGAAAGGTTATGCCACGTAAGTACCAGAACCCCAAACAAAAAGGATCAGAGTCACTAACCGGTCGCCTTGCTATGAGTGTGTGGAGATAACGGGCTTAATGTGATTGCGCCTGAATGAAAAAGAGTAAAAAGGAGGAAGAGTAAGTTAGGCTTCAGTATAATAACATGATTTGAGTTGATTTGTATATTCATGAGGTTTATGTCTGCACAATTGTGGATTAGTGTTCCTACAATATCCTTAATGTGTAAGATTAGTACCTATCGATGCAAACTTAACCGAAGAAGACTTACAGCTTGGAATGAGTAACTGTTGATGTGTTTGTGTTTTCTTTGTTTTGTTTTATTTTCATTTTGCTCGGAGTGCAAAAGTTCAAGTGTGGGGGAATTTGATCAGTGCATTTTGATGCACGTTCTTCCATGCTTGTACTCAAGCATTTCTTTGATTTTATTTATTTATTTTTATGTTTTAACGTGTTTTTATATTTTATTTTATTTTTGCATTTAATTATTTTTCGTATTTATTTTTCAGCTTTAACAACTTTCGCGAGAAAAATCATAACTGGAGTTCCGGGAGTCCGTTTGAGGCGTTCTAAAAATCGCCGGAAAGCTAAGAGAGAGAGCTACAACTTTCGTGTTGGAGTCGAAGTCAGATTCGGAGCCCAAAATTCCAGAATTTCGTTTGAAGTTGCAGCATTAGGATATTGTTTTAGTTTTGGGTCATGTTTTGGGCCTGAGTTATATTTTCGACCCAGTTGGGTTTTGAACCGGATCCATTGTTTGCCTTTTTAAGGAGAACTCATGTTACTGTTCATATTATTCACATTTCACGAAAAAATTGATGTTGGAGAGAACAATGGAGAACTAATCACTCTGAGTCGGTCTACCGTAATTCAGGTTCAAACACTTGAGATTATTATAATATTATTATCTGTTTAATTCCGTTCAATGATTTTGTACTCTTGTATGCTTAATTCAATTGTATGAAATATATTGATTTGATTTGGTTGATTGTATGATCCTAACATAGACACTTTTACGTTTGCTTAATTCGTTTTTGTGTCTGAATAATCATGTTTGCTTAATTCATGAAGCTTTTTACCGTCTACTTAATTCGGACAATAGGATCATATATCTTGCAATCCTTATCGCGCTTGCCGTTAAGCTTGTATCCAAATAGGAATGAACGCGTAGAATATTAATATTATAGTAATCGATGATAGTAGGAACCGAATCGGTAGATTGATTTATTTCATAATCACCTTTTTTATAATCACTTATTTTCAGTATTGTTTCCCTTAATCAAAATTCAAACCCCCATAAATTATTACTTTATTGGTCAATCACTACAAGAATCCTTTTGAGAACGATATTTCGAGTCACTGTCGCTATACTAGCATTTTTATAAAAACACTCGTTTTGATCCGCGAGCGACCGCGGATCAAATAGTTAATTCGTTTGATAAAGTATTAAGAGTGAGAATCTCTGTTAAATATAAGAACATTTTAAAAATATTTGTAGTCAATTTTTATTGAAAAGTGGGATAACATTAAAGCATTGAGTTTATTATGTTGATCGACGAATGATAATGTCTCACGGATCATGAATAAAGAGTTATCAAGTTCTCATATATGTATGAATATTATGAGTAATATTTATATTGGATTGACTTGATATGAAAATGCTACATATAATATTATGCAAATGTCATAAAATATTCTTATTGTAATAATAGTATACCTGCAAACAATTTGACGCTCATGTAAGTGATTGCCATATATGAGAGGTATACAATTTTAAGAAATTTTGTGTGTGCTTTGATTTGACTATCTTACAAGAGATTTCATTAGGGTTTTTGGAGACACGTGTTAGAATATAATTTGTTCTATTATCTAAAAACATTGCATCAATCATTTTCATGTATCAGGTGCTTTTTTAGGGATGGTTCATGCTTGTTGCCTAGGACATAGAACATTCCTTTCGATAATAGATATGAGAATGATATTTCATCTTTTGATATCATTGACCTAACATCATTAAGGAATGTCACCATGAAATATGTCTTCCTTATTGGGTTTCACATTTTTTGGACTCTTCCTTTTCATAGTTTACTTGGAAGACAATATGGTAATCCTCTGGTGATTCACACTATAAAATGATAATTTCTAGTAATAGAGACTATAAACGGTCGATTTCGCTTTTCGTCTCTCTTCACTACTATCTTTGCCATTTTCGGAGCCCTCAACAACCTTAATTGTCTTCATTGGTGGCATACCATATCGACGAAAAGAACACTTTATACGTGGAAATTTACTTTGTCTACTAGATTTCAGGGGAGAACCCATGTATCTCTTATAGTCTCCCTTTCATGCATCATCTTTGGTGTATATGCCAAATCTCTCTTTTTAATCAAATATTTTATCACTTTTAGATAAATGTATATGTTTGTGTCATGCTCGTGACTCTTATGGAATTTGTATAATTTTGATCTATGAGTATGTGTTGACTCCTTCACTAGGTAGGGGCACAATTATTTTCACAAAAGCGTCATTATTTTGTACATGAATAAAGAATGGATGAGAGACTGAAGATGATCACCGTAGAAGAATTTTCGTTATGGTGATAGAAGTCTCCAATAATCGAAGAGAGATATCTATAATTTTAGCAGTGTGTTTGAGAAAGGTGAAATTGTGCAAGAGTGAATGAAAATGATATAGGAGTGTGACTCAAAATCAAACTTATATAAAGGTGCCAGTTAAAAACACCTTAGATTACCTGATTTAAATGCAAACAATCGTTGGATGTATCTCAACGGTAGAGATGAGAGCGACGTGTTCGAGTGTAATGCTCTGTTCGAGAGTAATGCTAGAGGACAGTTTTTTTTGGATGCGATGCTATATTGATTGAACCATTCCCCTGTTTTATATCCCCTTTCTTCACCGTTGTTGTTCTGTTTCATACACAACATAAACAGAGTCAAGCACAGACTAAACTCCTCTTACTGTATAACATCAAACCCATTACCCTCATCTTATCTTTGACTACAAACATGATTAAAGAGCTTCTTCATAATGACCCTTCCTCCATTTTCAACCTTCTCAAATCCTACGCACTTTCTCCCACTAACATCCTCAAAGCCAAAGACATCTTCCACCAAATTCACAAACCCGCTTTATCCCATTGGAATCTCATGATCCGTGGTTGGTCCCAAACCGACAATCCAATTGAAGCCATTCGCACTTACAACCTCATGTATGGCCACGGCTTAATTGGTAACAACCTCACTTACCCTTTTCTCCTCAAGGCTTGTGCTCGTATTCCGTATGTTTCTTGCACCAGAATGGTTCATGCTCGTGTTTTGAAGCTCGGGTTTGAGTCGGGTCTCTTTGTTTCCAACGCTTTGATTCATGGGTATTCGGGATTTGGTGAATTGGGTTTTGCGCGGAAGGTGTTTGATGAAATGTCTGAACGGGATTTGGTTTCTTGGAATTCTTTGATTTGTGGGTATGGTCGGTGTAAGAGGTATAGGGAGGTTTTGGATGTTTTTGAAGCAATGAGGATGGATAATGTGAAGGGTGATGCTGTGACAATGGTGAAAGTTGTTTTAGCTTGTTCTGTTTTGGGTGAGTGGAGTGTTGCTGATGCCATGGTTGAGTACATTGAGGAAAATAAGGTGGAGGTTGATGTTTATTTGGGAAATACGTTAATTGATATGTATGGACGGCGGGGTATGGTTGATCTGGCCCGACGGGTATTTGATCGAATGCATGATAGGAATATGGTTTCTTGGAATGCCATGATCATGGGTTATGGGAAAGCAAGAAACTTGGTTGCTGCAAGGGAATTGTTTGATGATATGCCACAGAGGGATGTGATCTCGTGGACTTCTATGATCACCGGTTACTCTCAAGCAGGTCAGTTTGCAAAGGCGGTGAGACTTTTCAAAGAAATGATGGAAACTAAGGTGAAGCCGGATAAAATAACGGTTGCCACCGTGCTCTCTGCGTGTGCTCATATCGGCTCACTGGATGTTGGAGAGGCTGTTCATGACTATATCAGGAAACATGATGTGAAGACGGATATTTATGTTAGAAATGCTTTGATTGATATGTATTGCAAGTGTGGAGCGGTTGAGAAAGCATTGGTGGCGTTTGAAGAGATGCAGAAGAAGGACTCGGTATCGTGGACATCAGTGATCGCAGGCCTTGCTGTCAATGGTCATGCAGATTCCGCACTTAATTTATTTTCACTTATGTTGCGGGAAGGTGTTAGGCCTACTCACGGAACCTTTGTTGGAGTTTTGCTGGCCTGTGCTCATGCTGGAGTGGTAGATAAGGGATTGGAATATTTTGAAAGTATGGAAAAAGTTTATGGACTAACACCGGAAATGAAACACTATGGCTGTATTGTGGATCTTTTGAGTCGCTCCGGCGATCTAGAAAGGGCATATGAGTTCATAAAACGGATGCCTATGGAACCAGATGTTGTAGTATGGAGGATATTGCTGAGTGCCTCTCAAGTTCATGGAAATCTACCCTTGGCTGAGATTGCCGCAAACAAGCTTCTAGAATTGGATCCTTCTAATAGTGGCAACTATATACTATCCTCTAATACTTATGCAGGATCCAATAGGTGGGAAGATGTTATTAGAATGAGAGGACTGATGGAGGAGAGTAATGTACATAAACCATCAGGCAGCAGTTCCATAGAAATAAATGTTTCAAACAGTTCGGAGGATACATGTTTTGTTGATGGTCAAGAGAAAATTGAATTGAACGTTATGTAGAAGAATCATTGATTACTTTACACCTGACCCGTGATAACCTGGTTGTCTTCAACTTCTCACAGCTCACAAATGACTTTATATCTGTTGGGACGTAGTACAACTATAGTTTCTTACTGTGGATTAGAGATGAAATTGCTAAATGGAGAGAGGATTGATTATTCGTGGCTGCTGCTAACTCGTACAGCTATCATAAATAATAACTCATCAAAGCTGCAGCGATTCCAATAGATGAGCCATGTTGAACCTTGAGATAATGATGTTAAAGGACATCATCAAGTTCATGGCACAGAGCTTGTTTAAGCTTCTGCTTTCTGTGACAATACCTTTTTATCAACTTGGGTATTGAAACGGTAAACACTTAGACTTAACCCCTTTCCAGCCCCATATTTGGACTTCTAGACATATCTTTCAACTGTTTGTAACTAGACACTGGTGTATCAAGCAGTGTTGCAATTAGGACTGTTAAAAAAACCACAATCAAAGCGAAGTGTAGTTAAATAAACCGAACCATTACTTTTAGTTAATGAACCGAACCTGTGTTTCACAAACAACCATAACTGAACCAAACTGCAGTGAGCCGAACCCAAACTGACCAAACCAAACTGTACAACAGTTCAGTTATTTTTAACTTCAGCTTCTAATCTATGCATTGCAGACTCGGTTACTTTTCACTTTCACATGAATGCATGATCAAATCAATGAACTGAAGAATCCTAAACCCCTAAATCAGTGAAGAACACTCAAATTACATCTCATTTCAGAATCAAACCAATAATTGAAGTTCACGAACTCATAATTGAAGGTTCAATTTAGAAGGTTGCAAACTGTAACATTTTTGCAGCAAAAAAATGACAGCATCACCAGCATCACCAATACTCTAATCTTGAGAACATCACAAAATTAGGATTTTTTTTGGGATGTTGGAATCTGTCGTGGAATTGAAATGTCAGTAAAGGTAACTTATACTCTTTGAAGCCTAAACTTGGTTTCTTCTGAAGCTGCGAATTATAATTGCTGCAGTGCAATATTCTTGGTTGCTTGCATACATTGCAAAAAAACTCACTCCGAGCTTTCCACTTCTCATAATAGGAAACCTTCTAAAACTAGGAAACGAACTACACCATTCCCTAGCAAACTTTTCCAACATTCATCACTCACCATTATGATGGTAACTCTCTTGGTCACTCAAACTTCTTGCATTTTATATGTCACTGCCAATTGAATTGAAGCATATATGCAGTATGGTTAGTTTCTAAAGGTTTATTAAGTATTCTTGCTAGTTGTCATAATGAATTACATATTTGTTTAGTGTGGTGTATACATAGTACATATTTGTTTAGTGGTTCTAAGCTTAGAGAACTAGCTAAATATTGGTCCCTGATCCAACATTTAGATTTTGAATAGTGATATGACTTATATTTATTTTTTATTCCAACAAAAGTATTGACATGCTTTATGCTATATGTATCTTTTTTTTCTATCATCTTATTTTATTTTATATAATTTTTTTTATTGATCTAGTGGTTAACACAATTATTTAATTAAATTAAATATGTCGGGAGAGAAAGTGTGGAGATCAGGGTTCAAAACTACTAAGTCGAAACAGTAATGACAATTTTTTTTTATCATCATATTTCATGTTATACATTTTTTCTTTTTATTCACTTTGTTTTTTATCATTATATTTATTTGTATTAATTAATTATAATTTTTTTCCGGACACTTTTGTTGATCTCATATTTTTGACATACTAACTTTTTTTAAGATCTTCAAGATATATTTAAGTTAGTGTTCGTAGTGTTTGAATAATTTTTATTGATATTGTGTTATATTATTTCTAATTTTATTACAATTTTATTTGTAAATATTATTTTTTACCAAGTGTTTTTAGATAGTAAACAATCTAAATATTGTTTAGGATATTTTCAACAGGGGAGCATATCAAATGAGAGTGATTTTAAACGAGAGATGAGAGAAATAAATAACAACCATTAGATCAAATTAATAAGAGAGATGAAATGCAAGTTAATAAGAGAGAGAAATTAATAGTCACATTAATAAATAAGTTTAATCATGATTTAATGGTTGTTGTTTATTTCTCTCATCTCTCATTTTAAACTCCAATTTCAACCGTTCTTATAATAATTAAAAAAATAATAAGTGTTGTTTTTAAGTAAATGTTCAATCCCTAACCTGAGTTCTTATTCAATCTCATACATTAATTTGATACATTAATCACATTTATGTGATTGAGAGAATATAAAATAATTAGTATTTTTTCATTTTAATTAAAAAAATGTAAGTAAGTACATTCTTTTATTTGAAATTAGAGTGTGAAGTCATATTGATCTCTTACAAAATCAGACTAACTCAGATCAACCGGTAAAAGAAAATATTTAATCTCTTATAAAATTAAAGGCAATCATATTAATCCTTAAATTATTACATTGTTTTTAAACCTATGACGCATATATAGTTACTTATTCATATGGCATTAACGGTATTAATTAAATTTTTAAAGGGACAATTTAGTCTCTCATTTTTCCAAAGAAATAAAAAAAAATAAAGAAATGGAGTTGAATGGTTTTTTTCTTCATAAAATAGAAAGAAAAATAATTAGGGTTTTCTCTTCAGGTGTGTTTGGATTGATGGAATAAAATTGGAATGGAATGGTATGAACTTAAGTTTTATTGTTTGGATTGATTAAAAAAAGGATGGAATGGAGCGGAACCGGATGAAATGCATTTCATTCCATTCCATCATTTTTCATCAGTTTTTGTACCCTCCGATTTAGGCGGAATGACAAAATCTCTATATTTCGTCATTAAATACTCAAACAATGAAAATACATATTTATTCCATTCCACTCCGCTTCATTCCGCTACATTTCGTTCCGCTCAATTCTACTCCGTTCATTTTACAATATCCAAACACAACCTTTAGTTTCACACCATTTATATTCTCTGTGTCGTTGTTTTTTCTCCTCCCACAAAGCCGCACCCTTTTAGTTCTAACGAGATCATTTTTGATGACATCGACAATAATGATGATAATTAATTCAACGGGAGAAGACAACATACATTATACTGAAGATGTAAACAAAATTTTATCATGTGATAAAGACTTTCACACCAATAACTAAAGGATTTTTTTTGAAATTTCTTAACACACCTCATGTGTTTCTTAGTCACTATGTGGATTTTCACTTATGTCATTCGATTCTGGAGATATATCTCTAAACGCACTCTTTTTACATTCAATGAATGTCATTCTGGATGGCGCCCCATATATTGGGTTTGATTAGTTCCGGAGGTGCACCTCTGGAACCATGCCGTAGTTATATTTTCGAGAAAAAAAACTAGACACAAATTCAACACAAAACGAACATTTCAAACATAAAATGAGTATTCATAACATAAAATGAGCTTTACAATGATGATTTCAATAGAAAATTAGATACTACATTTTAATATCCCGGTGGACGCTTGTACATCTCCAGGATATCTTCGATCATTCTTTGTACCATCGCTTCTAACTCGAACGAAACTTTCTCTTCGAAATCGAAATACGTTCACCACATCAACATAACATTCGCTCGAGTCTTAAGCTCAAATCTGTTGAACAAAATGTTCCATTCGTTGTTAACAGAAGGTGAACGGTACTCGAGCTTCACAATCCTTTATTTGTCTTCGTAAGGTAAAAGATAGTGAATTTCGTCAATGATATCGGTGAAGGAGGTGAGATCAGTGAGCTTAAACGTCCTCCCAAGTGTATAGAGGCCAAAGTAGAAGACATTTGCGACATACCAAGAGATGTTCATATCACACATTTGAGACATTTTGAGTTTGTGTGAAGTATACGAAAAGATCACCTAAATTTATAGAAGACTTGGTTCAAAATGGACCACTAATTGAATGTCATTCTTATTCCGAATATATATCTCCGTAACGGCACCCTATTATCTTGTTCTGGAGATGCATCTTTGGAACTTTCCATGAACCAGTAAAAAAAGCAAATAATATAGTCCTTCAAAGATGTATCTCCGAAACTTTTCCTGATACGTTTTCAAAACAAAATCATTTGACAAAGAGTTCACAAATACCAAATATGAATAATAAGTGAATATGTAACACTTTATATATTGAGACACAGTTATATATAATTATTTGTCCAATTACACAAGAAATCAAAACGGATCAAAACATGTATCGCCGGCTAAATCTATAAGTGATATCCCTTTTGACTTTTGTGCATTCGATTCCTTTTCAATGTTGTTCAATCTATCGAATTATTGCATCTTTTCCATAAAATGGTCCGGCCACATCTCGTCATTTGGGGTTGAATAGGTCGTCCATTTCGATGATGTAAGTGGTGTTAGAACACATATTGGTTCTTAATATATCTCAATGTTTTGATGATAACAATAATAAAATTTTGTATGGAGAAAATATATACTCTAATTTTGTTCAAGTGTTTTTGTTTCAGATAACATAATAAATATTCTTCTGAACGCAAAGAATTCCTGTGAATGTTAAGCTACAACAGCAGAAGACTCTGAGCGTTTGGTAAAAAGCGAAGCTACATAAGGCTCTGAACGTAGAGTATAAAGCGAAGATTCATAAGACTCTGAGCGTACTAAGCTCAACGCTGCAACTATAGAGGCTCTGAGAATCAAAACACGTAAGGCTCTGAAACGTTAGTAACAAAGTGGTACATTTGGATAACACGGATATCTGAAGAGCAAAGATATGCTCTGATCTAAAGCCCTCCTCTGGATGAACAATTTGTTAAAACAATCATGCTAGCACTAAGCTGCAGAACTCTGGAAGAGAGTTACTCTGATAAGAAGAAAATGGAACATCATCAGAGGATCTGATGCAGGAAATATTTCCATATTCGTTCATTTAAAAAGATGCTGATCAAGAAAGATTCGTTGCCAAATTCATTGTCTACATCCAACGGCATTATTCCTCTTTTGTGTATGGGACAAGATTTCATAA